ACCTACAGTGGAGTACCCATAGGGACACGCATCAAAGAACCATCGTTACTGCACAACGTGAGTAACTTCTTCATCTGAGTAAGAGGGGCAGGGGGAATCCCGGTCTGTGGCCTTCCTTGTTTTCTACTAAGTTTTTATGTACTACTTTTTTTTTTTCTTCAACCTTTTTCTCCCTTTCATTTTCAGTGGCTGATCTGTCTCCTTATTTCAACTGTCATAGTATCCCTACCATTTCTGTATTACTGTAAAATTTGTCCATCCAATATTCATAAAGCCAGTATGCATTTCTTTATAAATCATGACTTTTGGATTATGTATACTCATCTGAATATGAATCCAGAAATCATTTTCGAAGTAGACTTTGGGCCTTCGATACAAGCTCCTGAATATGCACTAAAGGTATAAATATTTATAAGTGTTCTGCAGTTGTATATCACTTATTCTCACTTCTTGTGTTGTACTCTAGAAGTGTTATTGCCATTTAGATTGTGCTTGAGTATATTCTTTTAAAGCTTAACATTTAAGTGCTTGATATTACTCTTGGTTCTTTAAGTAGTTAATGTTTTTGCAGTTCAAATCATTGAATTGTTTTTTAATTTTTAGTTTTCTTTGATATATTAGATTTGTCTTCAAAATGTGACCCTAAACGTAGACAAAAGTTAAGTTGTGTCAAAGCTGTTCTAAAGATGTGAGGGATAATCATACCACTAATGCTTGCAAATCTTACTCCTGCTTGATTCTCTCAAAATCTATATTAGAGAGAGCGACTACATTATGTGATTACATTTGTTATGAATTTTTAGGAGCTTCTGAGCCTCAGTTTCTCAGAGCAACAGCCAAACTTTTTTAAAGAGCAAAAGCCGAGTTTTATTGTTAGTATTGATAAATATAAGTTCCAGCTTCTTCTGGGCCATTGAGTCTAATGACAGCTTCGCCACCAGAATCCATCTCACCTCTCTCTTCTGTCAATTTTGATGATGACGAGATTTGAGCGTGTGCAGTTTTTAAAACAAACAAAACCCCAAAACCACAACCCTACCAATCAAAACACTAAACCCACAATTCTCCCCCTGGGAAGAGGATATGAGAGAGAGAATAAATATGTATCAGATGTTAATCTGGTCATTTAGTGTACTGCTGAGAGAGACGCAGGTGGTGGTGGGGGCAGTATAACGACCTGTGCCGGACAGAATGGAAAGGGTAGAGCGCCTTTGGCACTGAAAATATTAATGGTATTTTAACTGCGTAGACTTTCTTTGAGACTTAGGATTTTTTTTTAACCTTCTGCATCCTCTGTTGCATGCAGTTCTTCAGAGCGAAGTTATCCTGTTTCCCCCGCTCTTAAGGCTTACGACACAGAAGGCCATGTTTGATCCAAATAGGATCATAATAGGAGGTGGCAAAAAAGTGTCTTCATAATTTTTCTTGAGTGCCAGAGAGATGTGACTTGTAAGGGTTTTTTTAAACGTGGCAACTTATGTTGCTGACTCTGAGTTCTTAAGGTATATTCAGCTGTTTCAATACTGAGTGAAGTGGTAATGTTTTTGGCAGATCCTAGATGGACAGTCCTGGAGACTGAAATCTCTCCATGGTACGGTACAGTACAGTATGAGCAGCAGCAGTGACAGCTGCTCTGGAATAGGCTTCAATTGTATTTTGGAACAATCCTTCTACTGAAAGCGAAGAATCTAGAACTCCTTTTTGTCCCTTACACAGTGGTGCCTGCTAGCCCCACAAGATGGTGTATTGTATACAAAGGACCAAAGAGGGGCTGCATTGCAGCCTGTCTCCAGGTTGGCAGAGGGTAGAGTAATTCCATCCTCCCGTCAACTTAATTCTGTGCACAAATCCTTTTTGTGCAAGACAGTTGGGAAGTACAACCCTAGAGGGTAACTAAACTGTAAGTGAGAAACAGCATGGGCTTTATATAGCACTAGTAATGCCGGACAAACTTACTCTTTTTTTAAAATCAAACTACAGAATTATTGGAAGAAAGGCAACAGATGTTGCTGAATTTCAGAAATCCATCTTATATCTTTCTTTAAAATTTCATATTAGCTGGGGTCTGGGAGGAATGTCATTTAGAAATGAAAGCTGGCAAGAAGTAAAAACTACAAAGGTAAAAAGAAAATTGCACTTAGTCAGTAAATGTATGCTGAACACTGTCTCTAATCAGGAGAGGGCTTTGGGTGCAGAAATAGGTTTGGTGGGTTTTTTTTTTTTTTAACTTACAAGTTTTTAAAGGGTAATCATGTACATTGAAAACTGTTTCCACAGCCTTGTTATAAGCTTGGTAAAGACTTGAGGGCTTTCAGGACAAATTTCTGGCTTGAATTCAATTTCATTTCATGTGTGCGCTTCACATATAAAGTAAACAAAATGTAATGATAGATACAGGTTCCACTATAGTAGATAGCAAGAGTGCTTTATATAATAAAATTAAGGTCCCCCCCTCATTGGTATGCTTGGGAGATTCTTTAACCTTGATGCATGTTTGATAAAATAACTTTGGATTTCTGTCATTTTCCCCTCAGATATTTAGGCGGTTCTATATCGCGAAGAGAAATTTTGTCATACTTAATTTTCACTTGAATTTTCCCAAGTGAGTGCAGAGAAGTTTGTAATAGCTTGAAAGTAAGCTCTATATTTTGAAGTAAAACATCCACAACTTAGTGTTTTTTTTTTTGTCAAACTATAAAAATCTCTACAGGAAAAATACACTTCTTTAGACCATTTAAAAAAAAATGCTTTTAAGAATTCCAGGATGTACTGATATCTAGCTCTATTGTACCATACTATAGAAGTGCTATTTATTATTTATTGTTAACTATTGAGTGAAAGAGTCTGCACTTAATATCAAATAATTTGCTGTCTGAATAATTCCTCCCATTGAAAAACCTATTATTTTCAAGAATGAGTAATAAAGTAAAAGGGCTTTGATCAATGTAGTTGTAAGAGTGGGTGTCAAAAGTATTTATTTTACTTTGTAAAGCACCTTTCATGTTTCACAATTCTGAGTACAAATTGCAGCAAACTAATGAGATTGACTGACTGCAGAAGTGATATAGTGCTAAAATGAATGGCACCAGCCTATAAAGAAAGCAGGATATAAGTGCATTAGTTAGAGAGTAGCTGGATTAACTGAAACAGGGCGTGGTCTGTATTGTAGAGTTACTTGATTTTTCAATGAGAGCACCCAGCGCAGGAACACATGGGCAATGTTCCTGAAGCCCAAGGCCTTGTGAGAAGGAGCATACAGCAGCTGCTCTATCAACTTTTGCCTGTCTGTCTCGATACTGTCATGGACCCACTACTGTACTTTGATGTGCCAAAGAGAGCAGTGCAACTGGCAGGCAAGGAGGTGTCAATAGGGCCTGTTGTGCTGGTGGGGAGAGCTGGTCCCTTGACAGTGGGGCCTGGCATATGTCTGGTCAATACCCACAACAGGCACTCCCATTGCACAGCATAATGGGGCAGCCGTATTTCTCATTGTCCAGCACATGGCCCAGACCTGCTCTTCTAGCTGTATCCCTTTATTGCCCTGGGGGGGTTCTGTGGGGAAGAGTCACCCTGATGTGCTTTTACACTATCCTGCCAATAAAGTTACTGCAGTTGTAACTTACATCTGTGTCAGCAAATACTTGAAAGGATTGTCTTTAACAAAGATAGCACCTGCGACTCAGCTTTGCCTTGTGACCATGCCCTGTTCAGGGCAGAATCCTCCTTTCCTGTTGTCCCTATGCAGGAGGTTGATTTAACCCTTGCAGGACAAGAGCCAGTGTTGCCGCTGAATCTGTTTGAGAGGAGGAGGAGCAAATATTAAGGGGGGACTAGAGAGGGAAAGGGGCACAGACTGTCCACCCAGGTACATACCCAAGGGGGTAGGCAGGTTTGTATTTGGGCAAATAGCTTATGCTGCACCATCCGCACTGTTCTTTTTCACACACAAACTCGAGCAGAGGTTGCATGTATCTGTCTACCCAGGCTAGGAAATTATGCTCCCAGCTGCAGTGTAGCCAGTATCTTTTGATCTCTTCAGTTTCCCACTGTCTCGTCCACTCCAGAACTCTTCAAGCTTTCTTCTCCTACTTCTCTCTCCAAACTGTTCTGGTCCCTCTACAAAAAGAAAAAGGCACAAAGCTTCCAGTTATTCCCCTGCTTGAAGACCAGTTTGAGAATTCTCGCACTTTGTCCATCATGTACAAGCTGATGTCAGAACAGACATTATCATTCTCACTTGCTGACTGCTGCTAAAAATGTTAAAGGCCAATCATTGAGAACTTCTATGAAGAATGAGGTTGGTCTGTTAGTGAGAGCAGTATGAAAACTTTGGTTGACTTCCCATGAAAAAAAGAGATATTTTGAAAATGTATCCCATTTACCTGAATAATATATTGCAGATTGTATTATACCACCAGGTCCTGGTATCAGATTTCATTGACACCAAATCATGGTCATCAGAGTCCTGTTCTTGTAATATGTCAGCCTCCCAATAGATTAGCAAAATAAATATATTTTTTTTTATCCAGACTAGGCAAATCTCTGCATAGAATCAGTCAAGTGTTTGTTATTGCATTTTCCTTATGGTTAATCTTGCTACGCTTTTCGTAGTTCTAAGACAAATGTATCACTTCATGTATTTATCCAATTCATAGTGCTTATTTGATGTTCATTCCTGTGGTTCTGTAGCTTCCAGTCAGAATTCTGTGGCGGTTATAACACTTTTTTTTTAAAAGAGGGAATCTACTTTTATTTGGTTTTCTTCTCTGTTTAAAATAGCTGGCTGATGGATGTTAGCTACTGTACTTTCTAAGGTTTATATACCATTAGGAATACCTACATTTCTGAAGGATACTATTTTTATCTGAAATACCAATAGGGATCTCTAATCTTGTGAATATACTTGCTTATTAGTTCATTAAAGTAAATTAGTTATATTTATTTTATATGGCTAAACAAGAGTCTGTCACTGACACAACTACTGTTTCTCTTGGTCTTAGTGGCATTTATTTTCAACTGGATTGGATTTTGTTTATCCTTCTGTATAACTAACACCATAGCAGGAAGGTATGGTGCAATCTGTGGATTTGGCCTATCGCTGATCAAATGGATTCTCATTGTACGGGTAAGGTTCTTGATGCACATATTGTTCCTGTGTCTCTGTGGAATGAAACTAGAAAAATGATTCATGGTGTCTAGTTTCTTTAAAATACTTTTTAAACTGGTGTATTGACTTTTATTAGATGTTCTAATATTTTAAGTTAATGAAATATTTACTAAAGTGGAAATTGCAATGTTTTATCAGTGAACTTGCTTGTTTTTATTCCTTTAACAGCTTTTACTGTCTTCTAATATGTAGATTCTTGAATGTTCTAGTTACTTTTTATCTGCTGTAATATTTGATTTTTGGGTGTGTGTGTGTAAAGGTGCATAATAAACTTAGGTTCTTATCTGCCATCAAATCTATCAGTACAAGAGCCTATGTAGAATATAATAGAGGACTTTTAAAAATGGTTCAGGGCCTCCTTTGACCTTTTGGGAGGTGAAGGCATCTTAAGGCTCTGTCCCTTTTCTGAATAGCTCCATTTCTGTGACATTCCCCAAATCTATCAACACAGTGACTCCACCAGCAGACCTTTGTTTTCCCAGTAGGATGCTTGCTTATACGTCTGTCTTTTTAGATTTCCCCCAGGGATTATTTATATTAGAAGAAAATAGACTAAGAGGAGACAATATGGTGAACTATAGAAAATAATGAATAATAAAGAGGAGATAATATAAGAACAAGAAGGCGTTAAATGAAACTTAAAAGTGGAAAATTTAAAACTAAAAAGAGAAACACTTCTTGAAAAAAAAAACAAACTATGGAACTCATTACCACAGTCTGCTGTTGAAGCCCAGAATTTGTCAAGATTTGAAAAGGATTTGGACATATATATGGATAACAAGAATATCTAGAGTGATTCTGGAATACAGTATCCAGTTCTGTTGTCAACATTTTAAAAAGGATTTTGAAAAATTCAAGTGTGTGCAAAAAAGAGCTTCAAAAAATGATTCATGGACTGGAGAAAATGCCTTTCAGTGAGAGACTTAAAGAGCTTACTCTGTTTAGTTTATCAAAAAGAAGATGAGAGGTAACTTGATTAGTGTATAAATATCTTCATGGGGAGAAAATAACACACATGAAAGGTCTTTTTAATGTAATGGGAAAAGGCATAACAAGAATCTGGAAGCTGAAGCCCCCTACAAATAATTTAAATTAGAAAAAAGGCACGTTTTTAACAGTGAGGATTATTCACCACTGGAACAAACTACCAAAGGAAATGATAGATTCTCCTTCTCTTGATGTCTTCTCTGGATGCCGTTCTAGGGGAGATGCTTTATCACGCCACAAGTTACCAGGCTCGATACAGGGTTAACTGGGAGCAATTTAATATCTGGTGATCTACAGGGCAGACTAGATGACCTAACAGTCAATTCTGGGCTTAAACTCTATGAATCTGTGAAACTGCAGCACCTCTTCAGAGGCACAGCACAGAACTTTCAGCCCAATCCAAGGAAGCTGGAGGCTAAGGTATTAAGCTATCTTTTGTGCCCTCCCAATTCTGGGCTGTTCCAGGGGCTACAGCAGCTATTGGTGTAATTCAGCCCTGGAGGATTGTCTAATTTGTGACCTCATTTGGCTGCCTTGAATCTCTGTAGCACTATGTGCTGTGGCCTCTCCCTAATATGTCCCACCCCTCCCAGCCATGCCTCCTCTCCAGTACTTGTGAGCAGCTTCTTAGAAAGACCACCTATAGCTGTTTCCTCAGTTTCTGTGCCAGGGGAACTTTCTCTTGGCTGATTTGGGACTTTGAGTCCCTTTGTGCTACTTTTGTACACTAGGTAAAAAGGACCAAAGCCAGAGGGTGGGGGTGTGGTGGGGGGGGGTCAGAATCTCACCCTTGTCAGAAATTAGGAAGAGGCTCTCCTGAGATTATACAAAATAAGCCTACTATGGGGTTTCTTGCATGCAATGGTCTGTTTACTTGGTCCTGCCTCAGTGCAGGGGGCTGGATTTGTGACCTCTTAAGGTCCTTTCCTGTCTGCATTTCTGTGATTCTGTGTGTCTGAAGCAACTGATGCTAACGATCTAGGAATCCATGAAAGATCGATTTGATAACTGAAACAATTATAAAAATGTCTCCACTCCCAATTCCAACACTGACTCTTCCGTACATGAATACTTGATTTTTTATTTTTTTTAAAGAAGTTGCTTGGAGTGAGTGAATGCTGTTAGAAACAGAAACCTTTTGTAATTAACTTTAAATAAAGAATGAAAATTTTCACTCTGGGAAAAAAAATTAATGAGGATCATAAATCAAATCATCACTGGTCTAAATTTATAGACCTCTGTTGATTTACATCAAGTGAGGATCTGAGCACATATCTTCATTTTAATATAAGTGATGTCTGAACTTAAACATTAATTAGCTACTTTACAAAATGTGCTGGAAATGACGATATAGGCAAACTCTGTGACAGTATGCATCAAGCATGCTGAGTAGCGGTAGGACAGGAAATGTACAGAAAATTATAGAACTGCTACAACACACTATTTTTGTTCGTTCTAATAATCATTAGAAAAGAGTTGAAAGTGTTGGAGTAGCAAGAGAGGTCTGAAGTGAGCTCTGGAGGCATTTGATTAGCCTTTTTTATCAGTGAAGCATGCAGTCTGGTAAAGGAAAAGATTCCGGTCTCCAATACCATCGCACCCTACCCTCCAGCTGCCTGTTCATATTCCCACATCACAGAGAGGACAAGACTGTCTGTCTACCATGGTCACTAACAGGAACAGATGAAATGCCACTTCAAGGTTCATTTAGCTGTGTTCGGTTCACTGCTGGGAACTGAATGCTGGAGCATCGAGTTTGAAAATGAAAAGACTTTTTAATGAGTTGGGGGTCTTCATGGGACTGGTATTCTTGGCAGCGATTAACAGTTGGGGGTGTACAGAAGGTCAAAAGCTCTTCTTTTGAAGGGTCAGCAGAACATCCCCGTCTGATAAGATTAAACTAATGTGGCTTTTAGTCTTAATATCTAAAGCAGCAGGCTGCTGCAGTGTGTTTTGGATGGCAGACATTGAAAAAGAGCTGACAGTAATTCATTATAATAGAAAATGTCAGATGATTCAAATGAGTAATATATTTTTTCACAAGAGAGCTTGGAAATTCTTTGTTTAAAAAACACAACACTGAAGCTATTTGTATATTTTACAGCTTCTCGAAAGACGTATTTGCTTATCTACTCCAGTACATTTTATATTTAAATGTGCTAGTTTCACTGTTTTTTTCTTTTGTTCTAGATGCATTTAAAATATTAAATGTAATTTATATTGTGTGTGACTTTGGTTATTCCTTGTCTGTTCTAGTTCTCAGACTACTTTACTGGATATTTCAATGGACAGTACTGGCTTTGGTGGATATTTCTTGTACTTGGTGAGTTATAATTCAAAACGCATCTTATTTTGATGGAGAATTTCTTAAAGATGAGTTGGGTATATGTTTAAAAAAATCAAAACATTGCAATAAATACTTGAAAGCTGTATGTTTTTTCTCTATCAAAAATCTTTTGTACTTTATTTCCAAAGTCTTGGTTGCCATCCTATTCCTGTGTGAATTTCTGATTACTCTATTAATCTTCAGTTCAGAGTTGTGTGCTGGAAATATTATAATTATGCAGATGTCTGTGATTTGTAACTTGTGTTTTAAAACAAAAATAAACAAAAATGACTTGAGTGTAGCGTTATACAATTAAAGCTATAAAATTAAAAAACACATGTTAGCTGTAGGTGTTAATTTTCAATATCTACATGTGTAACTTGTACGTATTCAGTCATTAAAGTTCTCAGAAGATTTTAATGGATATGACAGATACTACTATTCAAAATCAGTCTTTATTTGAGTCATGAAAGTATCCTTTTTTGCCTTTGAAATGCATATTACATTAATCATTACTCACTCAGTCAAGGGGAAAGGCGTCATGCTTTTTGATCACAGTACTTCCTTTCAATCTGTTTTTTTCTTTGAGCATGAAGCTAAACTTTTGAGAAGTTTTCATAGATTTCTAATTTTTGCTCCGCTTGTCTCTGCTTTAGTTAAATAATTATGATGTATAAACATACTACCATTGTAGCTTTTTCCTTATGTGAGAGTTCAGCCTATACCATTAATTTATTTTAATTCCTGCCATTTTCTAACTCGAGAAATGCACTAAAATGTGATGTTGCTGGATCAGTAGATGGCAGTCTTTCCTCTGAGATGTAAGGGACCTGGCAACAGTATGTTAGGGGCCTTACGCTGTTGGGCGAGATGTAGAACCCAGTTATTGACTGTTTATGATCATTAAAGATCCTTGGAACACACTAACATTTCCCCTTTTGTTTTCAGTCAGATATGAGGGGTATTCTTCACTTTTTATCCTCAACTTGCTTTTGTTCTGTTGCGGTGTACTGTTGAGGCCAGAAATCAATGGGAATCACAATTGCTGAAAACCTCGTAGCACCAGGCCTTTAAATAGCTTTCATGTTTCATCCCAGGGGTGACTGTATTTCAGGAGTGGATGAAATGATTCCCTGCATAGATATAAAATAATTTTAAATCAAAATGTTCAAACTTGGATGCCTAAAGTAAGGATTCTTAACTCCTCTTTGCCCACCTATATAAAAGGAGGGTGCTTTTCAGAGGTTCTGTGCACGTGCAGCTCCCATTAATTTCAGTAACATCTTGTGGTGTTATTTAAAAAATAAAAATAAAAAAAAAATTGGGCCACTTTTGTTTAGATGCCAGATACAAATTAAGAAGCTTAACTTCAGTCTCACAAGTTTGAAAATGTTGACCTTAATTTGTAAACTTTATAATATTTTTTGGAATCCTTTTGGGATGAAAGGTACTACCTGGCATTTAGATGTATTGAATAATTATCATTCTCACTTTCTAAAGATCGCTTTGTCAGTCCAAACGTTTGTTTATGTGTGAATATTTTAAAATTACAGTCTTTAACATCTTGGGCTATGTATTTCAGTGACAAAAATCACAGTGTCAGAATTTAACTAAGTAGAGACTTAACAGAACGTGGAAAAAAATACTCTGAGCTTGAAGGGACAGAATTATTATTTTTTTTACTACTTTAAAAAAACCACAACTTTCTGGTTGGAACACCATTTAAAGGGCATGATCTGTCCTTTTTTAAAAAAAAATCCTTTTAAAAAAGGAAAAACAACTAAAAGTTTTTCTGCTGTCTTGCTTATGTTCAGAAGGATCTTTTGGACAATACTTTGAGTGGCACCATCAAACATGTTCAGGCTCACCCATCATCTCCCTTTTCTTTTTTTCATTGTTAAATGCCTACTGCATACTTACTTCCCTTTTTTAGAGCCTGAAGAGAGGGGTGCACTACCCACAAAAGAGTCAGACTGGCTGCTCATGAAGTACTGTCAAATGCACAAAGTAAACACACTGGGGGGGGAGAAAATACTAATTTTAAAAAAAGGTGCTTTGTTTCTTAAATAAAAAAATGCACTGCTGGCTAAGTTTCCCATCTGGGAGAAATGCAGAAAGTTGATTGACCTTGGATCTGCTGCTCAATATACATGCTATGCAAAAAAGAGCTTTCATTTGTGGGTCCTTGAAAGCCACCTGGACATGGAAGCAGTTTGTGTGCATGGTTGCAGGTTCATGCAGTAGAATGCAGTCTAAACTTCTCTATTCCCACAGCTTTCAGCTTAGTCACAAAAACCTATGACTTGCTCTTAGGTAGAACTGGGTGAAATGGTTTGGCTAAAACTTTTTTCATCAAAAAATGCCGAACCAGGTCAACTGAAATATTTCATGAATTCATGTTGATTTTGGTGAATTGTTTCACTTGAAAAAATTAAATGTTCATTGGACCAGAAAGAGTAAGTGAGAGTGATTTATTTTTTTTTTTTTTAGTCCAGTTAACAAAGCACACACTTTAGGGATTGGTGGGGAGACACCAATGTTCCAGTCCCTGCTCAAATGAATATTTAATTTATACAAAGCAGAACAGCTGCAATGGGGGAGAGAAACCCACCACTCACCTGGGAGATGGGAGACCTGGTTTCAAGTCCCTGCTCTAGAATGGGAATTTGAATCTGGATCTCCCACATCTTAGGTGAGTGCCCTGACCACTGGTTTATTAGGCCTGTGGAGAGCATCTCTGTCTACTCAGTCTTGTGAATGGCACCAAAGTTCCCTTGTGAATCTAGCCCTTTGTTTCAAATTTCCTTTGTTTTCGTTTTAAAAGGTTAAAAATGCCCAGAAATGAAACGTTTAATTTCAGGTCAAACAAATGTTTAATTTGACCCTAAACTCCCCCATTTGCTGAAAACTCAGGAAAATTTTGCTTTGGGTTGATCTGACATTAATTTTTTTCCACAAGTTTTTGGAACTGCCAATGAACCAAACAACGAGTTATTCACATAACTCTACTCTCAAAGTCAACAATCTGCAAAACTTTCCCTAGCCTCTGGCACCATTTATTGGTGGCTGGGTGAATGAGTTTAGTTTTTTAGCAGGGTGATTTCTACACAACAAAAAGCAAAAAAGAGTTCAATAGGGGAAAAAACACACAGGAAAGAAATCACAGTGAAAAGAAAACAAAAGTCCTTGGCCAGCATAGTGTGGGGGCGGGGATGAACAAAAGCAGGGCAATTATAGTAACTGTATTGGGACATAGCCTGTTGGGATACAGGGGAGGGGAGAAAGTGTGCCATTCCCATAGCAAGAAGTGGTTTTGACTAACACACAAGAAAGTTTGGGATCCACTAGTATAAACTTCAAGACAACTGTAAAATATTCAGTTCTCAGATGAGCATACAGCTCTAATTATGACCTGGTCTACACTTCAGAGTTAGGTTGATGTAAGGCAGCTTACCTCTACCTAACTCTGTAAGCATCTACACTAAAACGTAGCTCCGACTGATGTAACTCTCCCACGACACCAACTTAATAACTCCACCTCTGCGAGAGACATAGCGCTTAAATTGATGTAGTTTGTGTCGACTCAATGTCATTGTAATCACTGTGTTGCTTACATCAACTGCTCCCTTTCAGAAACACTCCCGCAATGCCCTACGCTTGCAGTTAAATTGGTGCAAACGTTCCTGGTGGGGATGTGCACCACTAACACAAGGCATAGTGTGGATGTGTAAAAGCGATGGAATTACTGCGGTGGCAGTACGTTGATGTAACTTAGGTTGACTTAATTTTATAGTGTAGACTTGCCCTATGTAAGCTTAGCTATAGTAGTGAGAAACACATACATGGGCTGGTGAAATTAATTTTTCAGTATTCTAAAAGAAGCTTGCTAATCCTAAAGGGGCACCATCATCTCAAACATAGGAGTTGCTGTGCTCGATCAGACCGAGAATCCATCTAGTCCGTTATACTGTCTCTGACAATGGCCAGCAGCATGGAAGAAAGTGCAAAATACCTCACAATAGGCAGATGGAGTATTAGTGTCCTCTTAATGCCTAAAAATTAGAGATTATAAAACCATAAATCGTGAAGTGCGATTCTTCTACAACTACTTTTTTCCCTATTTACTATAATAATAATAATTAATAATTAATACGACCTAGCTCTTAAATAGCCCTTTTCATCAGTAGATTTCAAAATGTTTTACTTACCTCCTTTATATCGTTATCCACATCTTACAGATGGGGAAATTGAAGCACAGGGAGGTAAAGTGACTTGCCCAAGGTCACCCAGCAGGGGAATAGCAGAGCTGGGAATAGAACTAAGGTTTCCTGAGTCCCATTATACTTTCTGCCCTAGGCCATATTACTAGCCTTATACTCATTGATAGTCTTTTTGTTAAAAAAAAAAGTCCAGTCTGTCATTGAATTGCTAAATTGTCATCAACATCATATGAAAGTGAGTTCATTTAATTATACATTGAAACTTGAAAAATAACTTCCATTTGACCAGTTTTTGTACCTATTGTTATAAGTAACTCCCTCATCTTTCAGCTCTAATAATTTAGAGAAAGTGTGGTGTTACTTTCTAAGTGACTTACACCAAAAAAAGCATGTATTTACAACTAATGCTCAACAAATCTTGTGTTAATCAGTCAATACTCTGCCTCTTCTTTTAGCCAGCCAAAAAACTTCACCAGTCCAAACATCAAGCAGTCATCTACTGCCATTTATCATCTTCCTGCTAGCGCTTTTATTTTTATTTTATTTATTTGTCTGGAAGTACCTTTATTCTCCTACATCTATATATTTCTGGTTATGTTTTAGAATTCAGATGGTCTTCTGACACAACAGCAGTTTTATTGTTCTGAGTTAGAAGCTATATTTTTTTTTAAAAAAGGAAGAAACGGAGCAATGTTGTAAAACTGTATAGCAAACATTCTTTGTGTACTTCAAAAAAAATTGTTTTGTATGTTTGTTTAGTAACCTAAAACCCTGAAGTTCATTGTAAAATCTTTCCTGATGTTGGAACTATATATCTAGATACATAAATTTATATAGATATGAATGGGACAAGACACTAAAGGCTCACAACTCATGGTTGGTTTGTGGAAGATCAGGGTTATACAAATAATACTGACTTTTTCCATTATTTTAATACAGCTAATAATCTAACCTATTAATATGACTGGCTACCTTAGCACTTCTCATGATATCTATTTTAAATATTTTCAGGTCTCCTCCTGTTCTTCCGAGGATTTGTCAATTACCTTAAAGTCCGAAACATGTCTGAAAGCATGGCAGCTGCTCATAGAACAAGATTTTTCTTCTTGTATTAGAGGTAAGCAATTTTGTAAATATTTAATATTAAAACTTAAGTCTCTAGAGCAGTGGTTCTCAACCTGCAGCCTAGTCAGCACACAGCTGTACAGTAGTATTGCATGTGGACCATAATGGTAAATAGGTTGAGAACCACTGTTCTAGAGGTAAATGCTGAGCACAGAGGAGCTGAAATCAAGATTTATTTTAAGGAACTTTAGATCTTGGCCACCAAAAAAAGAATTGTGTTGTGCCATGCATTCTGAAGGTACTTTAGAAGTATGATGCTTTTTATAACGCTACATTCTGAAAGTAAAAATATTGTGTTCTTTTGAAACTAGCATTCTAAATCTAAAACCAACTTAGAAATTAAGGTGAAAATTGTTCATCTTGTATAATCAATCTGCAGCCAATCAGGATAGTCATTAGCAAATGTGAACTGATCAGTCAGATCAGTGCTTCCTCACTGGTGATCTGAATATTAAGTCTGATTGATATTGCTCTGAAGAGATAAGAAAGACAGACTAACACAGCTGCTACTCTGAAACCAGACATATATTGACTCTGTACATGACTCTTTTAAGCCAGTTGTGAGCCACGATTTTTATGATGTATCTAACAGTGTGCTCTGTATAACCTTAAGCTATCTGACTAATCTGTTTGGCACATGTCCACTTTTTTGCTTCTATAGACTTTTTATCCATTAGGTAGATCTTTTGGATTTTGCTACATAACTTAATACAAGGAGACTCGGTTGCTTTTAGTGTTACTAACCACTATCTTCATGTCCACAAGTAACTGTTGTAGCATTTTCCTTATTTCATGAGCAACTTGAAATGTTTGGTATTGGTTCTTAATCTGATTTCGTTTAGAAGCTATATTTAACTTCATAAAGATGATTTTCTTAACTTTTTTTTTTTCTTCAAGATTGGCCTCAGGATCAGTATGAAGTAACCAGCAACACAGTATTGGAAGTCTGGGGGGAAAAAAACAGAGACACTTAGTCTAGAAATGATGGGTCTCTTATTTAAGATGGTGACATCCACTTAGACACCTACTCATTTAAAATATGGAAAATAATTACTTATGCTATGCTTTACAGATCTTGATCAAGAAATAAATCTAAGTGAGCGAAATTGCAATGTACTGTGTGTTTACTTTGTGCCATTTTGTCAAAACTGTGCAGTAAGGTAAACTTTTAGGCTGATTTTTAAATGCCATATATTACTAAGTTAGTGGTCTCCACACTGCAGTATTTTATTCTTTTCATAGGAATAACATCTTTCATTTTCTGAGCAGTACAGTGGCCTCTACATAGTAAGGAAAAGTATAGTAAACACTGCATGAAAACATCTAGTATCTATTTTGCTAAATAATTTATGGTGATGAATAAAATACATGTGCAGGCATAAAACTTTTAAAATTCAGGGTACTAAAAATTAACTGCATACATTGTATCTGAACACAGTGGCTTTAAGGAAAACCTAAGAGAATCTGTGATGGTTTGGTCGGTGAGTCTTTCATCTGAGAGAGAAATCTGGTATAGGATCAAAGATTGGGATTTATGCAGCACCCACTAAAGTCAACTCATTGACTTCGGTGGGTGCTGGGTAGGTCCCCAGACTTCTGACAGTGAGGGCTATGGGGAAAAAAAGCTCTCCAGCTCTTGAAGAGACTTAATATTTGTTCCAAAGGTTTTAAGTATTAAATTGAAATAATACAGTCAAAGCAAATGCCAACAAGCATAAATGAATGAATTTTATTCATTTAATACAAGGAATAATTGCACTGGACAGAAAGTTACTTACTTGTCAATGTTAGCAGCTCTAAAATATCATGAAACATACAAATCGTTCAAGAGAAAAACTATAGAATATTTTTGAAAGTTAAGGGTTGTTTTTTTAATCCTGTCACTTTCTGTTATCCTGTTACCCTGATTTGGGGAGTAGCTACTTTTTTTTTTTTTTTTTCCCCCCTTCTTCCCCCCAGCTGTAAATCTTAACTCCGTTATCAGTATTGCTTACAGGTAATCAGTCTGAAGAACTGAAGTATGATTCTTTCTTTATCTCCAGACTGCATCAACCAGACATTCCTTTCCTTTACCAATGTGAAATTTCCAGATGATCGGTAACCCTCCAAGTAAATAGGATAGAAGACTACTAAAAACAGAAGACAAATTTGTGAAGAAAAGATACAGCTTCTAAAACGAATGACAGGGTGGTTTTTGCTTAAGTGCCAGTTCTGTTCATTCTAGTAAATATTTATATTAAGTATTGCCTTTTTGTTTTTGCACATTTGCATATGTGCTAACTAGAGGATAGGATTGAACTGAGAACAAACCATACATACAGTCTGATGATAGAGATTAAGTACAGTCAGATTGGTTAATCTGTGCTTGTTGTTTGTGAAAGATTTAAATGGTGGTTTGTCTCAGCATGTATGTACCACTGTCTTGTTGATCTGAAGTTAAATTGAGAGTAAAAATGGGCTATACTAAATGATTCAGATTAACCAGGTCAGGTTATAGTTAGTTTTTTATGTCGTTTAGGTTCATCGAATGATTGCGCAACATACAACATTTTTGTTATAAAGTTTTTACTAAAACCTGCAGATCCTGATTATTATAAACCTGTATTGATCAGCTTTTATCAAACTCTCTGACCAAAATATGTATTGATTTAAAAATGAAATATCCCTTCCAGCTAGCTCCTGTGTAAATAACTATGCATAGATTACTGTTTAGATTGCTTCTTAGGAATTATGTCAAAATATATTTGTAACCACAGTATTTTCTCATTCACTGTAAATTATGTTTAATCTTCATATGGACAGTATATATATACACACTATTTTTTTGGCTAATTTGGATGTTAAAGTATAATTTTATTTTAGATATAATTCTAAAAGAGAGCAAAAGCTTTTAAATGTCCATCGGAACAATTTAGTTTCTTTGCAGTATGATTTGAATAACTAATTTGGGCTTGATCCTGGAAACCCATACGCATATGGAAAGTCCCATTAAAAGGGATGGCGCTACTCTCACAAGCAAGCACTAGGCCATTGAGCCCTGATTCTGCAATTGGATCCAGGTAGTTGGGCCTGGGCTTCTGCATAGGTGCAATTGCAGATCAGTTCCTTGGTTTGTAACACTGATCATCTTAATTAAGAAGGTTTGTGTTTATATAAACACAATCTGTTTTATTTAAATTTCTCAAAAGGGCTTTTGTAGCTGTCTTACCACGCTTGTTTAGAATAAATACTTCAGTGTTACATAAGAATGAAGCTGATGAGTACATTTTTATTGTCACTTTGGAAATAACATTTTTTTCTTCATGGGTGTTTTATTTTTTTAAGGCTCTACTAGCAAAAATAGGAAATGGGTTCTTGATTGTATTTACTTAAAAGTAGCAGTATTACTCTTCAAAATATATCATCTCTAGAAGGTGCATTCTCCTGTTCATAAACATACGTAACTCCCACTAATGTCTGAGACTTACGATTCTGACACAATGGGAGAATAGACCTCTTAATTCTTTACTACAACTGGAATCTCAGTTGCAACCAGTAATCGATATATTTTGCATCTTTGAAACACATTTATTTTCTTTCTGTTTTTTATTGGAGCTTTGCTTTAATACTAACATTAAAAGAATGAGATTTGTTGTCTTAACTTAGTGCTATATTTTGTATCTATACTGAATGTTTTAAAAAAATGCATATGTAAACTGGTCACATTGTTCATTATTCTTAATCTTTCAAAACTACCAGAAAGGTAAATGATCATAGACTAACACTTCAGGGGAAAACTCCTCTTTCCAGCCTTTCTTGAAAAAATAAAATAAAATTCATTGTTTAATAGTTGATTTGCATTTCCCTTTGAAGTTCATCTGTTTTTTTTTCATTCATTGTCCTTATGAGAGAGAGAGAAAATAAAACATTACATTTTGTTTTGCTAATTATGATTGCTTTTGGATTTTGCACCTTACATTAGAGAATTACCCATTTGCAGTATTCACGCATGTCAGTTAGCATGTAATTACATGTAAATTTCTGGCTAAATGAGTACAAATCCCAGACTCCTGTACTTCTTCTTCCCTTCATTCCATGCTTTATTACTTAAAACTTACTATATTGACATTTCTTTTCACTACTTAGTACAAACATGAAAAGCATGTAATGCTGATTTCCTTTTTAAATTTACCTTGGTCACCAAGTACAGTAAATACCAATTTTCCCAAGTTAAATATCAACCTTCCAGTTCATTTCTCTGTTTACGCCAGTACATTTCACAATATTCTTTCTTCTGAATCAGGATGTTTGTTTTTTCCGGGCTAGCTTGAAAAATTTCTCCTTTGTTCTGACAAAAAGAATGGGTAGAGCTAAAGCCTACATGTTATCTAATCCTCTGTAGTTGATGTAGCACTTTAGTAGCCTGAAATATCATCAGCAGGAGGAAAGGAATTAGGACAGTATTTTCAAAGACTATGCAATCTCTTCCAGATGTGTCAAATGCTGTGTACTTTTCTTGCTATTTCCTGTGAACTTGGATAGGAGCAGCTGCCTCCATGGTTTGGAGAAATTTGGCCAGCTTTGCTTTTTGCCTTAAAGTTAGAAAACAAACTAATACGAGGTTGACTGTAAACAGTTTTTGTTTGAATGCAGAATAGAGCTTTGAAGTTTGAGGAAAAAACATTAAATTTTTAAGTAACTTGCACAAACCCTATTTATAGCTTTCTTCTTGCCTGTTTCCTTTGTCCAAGACACCAGGAATGTGGTTCAGCTAGGCCACAGTTTATTAATGCATCTGGGAAACAATCTGGCAATAACTTGCCTGATGCAGGTCATCCTTTTGTAATTTGTACCACCTGGTGAGGGCTCCCTTCACCCATCCTTCTCAACCCATTTAAGCTGGTCCCACCACTGTTGCTGGGACCCTGTACTGCCCTTCCCATGTATACAAGTTAATGAAGTGGGGGAAGAGGGGTTGAACCCTCGTTGTACCAGTCATTAGGAGCCCCAGCC